TATTTTAAGGTACGTCATGCGTCCAAACTATAAATAAGTAGCACCAACACATACACTAATTGATACACATACTTCTCTGACACATCTATCCCGATAATAATTCGATAAAATACAATAATTGAAACTTATATCAATTCAGTTTCCATATTTATTAAATACATTCATAGCAATTCATAGAATTGATAGTAGTTGCTGCTGATATACCTCGTCAGGAAGATTAACATCAGTAGTCTTATGGTTACCCTTCAGAGCGCAAAGCAATTTTGAGTAGCGCCAAGTCTATGACTTTTAAACTCCTCCCAAGTCCAATCAGCAAAATCTGCAACTCAAAAATCTCAGTCAAATCCAAACAAAACCTAACTAAGAAAAAATAATGAAAGTCAAAGAAAAAACAATAACACATTCGATTAACACCGAGCTTGTAACTGAGTCGTCTCTTATTAGTAGACCTGATAAGTTCAAGATTCTCCGAAAAGATCTTAAACCGAAGCTTCATCTCATCATACTGGGACAAGATTTGTGTCTGCCTCGATTCCATCCTTATCAACTCTCCATACATTCTGCAGTACTATCTCATAACCACAAATATAATTGAAATGGAGAAATAGTTAGAGTTTTTAGATAACCAAAATACGTTAGATCTAAAACCATGAAACACAAACAAAACAAAACTCAAAAGTAACTAACACATGTAGCTTCTCAACAACTTGTTGATATCACACATCTTCTCAAAAGGTTGAGTCATGAAGGATGGAGGAAGAAAAGTTGAGACTGAGGAACAGTAAACAAAAAAGGGTTGGAATGTAGGTTGGTGAGAAACAGAGCAGGAGGAAATGGTTGAAGATGGTGAGGGACGTTGTCGCGGCTGCGCTAGGGTTTGCAGAGAAAATAGAGAGAAGAAAGAAAGACTGAGTTGTGTATGAGAATGCAGGGAGAAAGACGAGAGAAAGATTGGAAAAAACTTTTTGAGCTTGTGAAAGAGTGAGAAAGAGTGGGAAAAAGTGAGTTGGTAAAGAGAAAAAATAGACCAATTGGTGAGGGACAGGTGGATGAATGTGAGATTTAGAGCATTTGAAAGAGTTGAATTTGTTATTTACTTTTTTATCCTTGAGTTGGGCATAATCATTTTTGTTGTGAAAGGTATAATAGGTAGAATGGTGGACATCTCTTGCAATGGATAGGTAGTTGATTATTTTAAGGTACGTCATGCGTCCAAACTATAAATAAGTAGCACCAACACATACACTAATTGATACACATACTTCTCTGACACATCTATCCCGATAATAATTCGATAAAATACAATAATTGAAACTTATATCAATTCAGTTTCCATATTTATTAAATTCATTCATAGCAATTCATAGAATTGATAGTAGTTATTGCTGATATACCTCGTCAGGAAGATTAGCATCAGTAGTCTTATGGTTGCCCTTCAGAGTCGCAGAGCAATTTTGAATAGCACCAAGTCTATGACTTTTAAACTCCTCCTAAGTCCAATCAGCAAAATCTGCAACTCAAAAATCTCAGTCAAATCCAAAGAAAGCCTAGCTAACAAAAAAATAATGAATGTCAAAGAAAAAACAATAACACATTCGATTAACACCGAGCCTGTAACTGAATTGTCTCTTATTAGTAGACCTGATAAGTTCAAGATTCTCCGAAAAGATCTTAAACCGAAGCTTCATCTCATCATACTGGGACAAGATTTGTGTCTGCCTCGATTCCATCCTTATCAACTCTCCATACATTCTGCAGTACTATCTCATAACCACAAATATAATTGAAATGGAGAAATAGTTAGAGTTTTTAGATAACCAAAATACGTTAGATCTAAAACCATGAAACACAAACAAAACAAAACTCAAAAGTAACTAACACATGTAGCTTCTCAACAACTTGTTGATATCACACATCTTCTCAAAAGGTTGAGTCATGAAGGATGGAGGAAGAAAAGTTGAGACTGAGGAACAGTAAACAAAAAAGGGTTGGAATGTAGGTTGGTGAGAAATAGAGCAGGAGGAAATGGTTGAAGATGGTGAGGGACGTTGTCGCGGCTGCGCTAGGGTTTGCAGAGAAAATAGAGAGAAGAAAGAAAGACTGAGTTGTGTATGAGAATGCAGGGAGAAAGACGAGAGAAAGATTGGAAAAAACTTTTTGAGCTTGTGAAAGAGTGAGAAAGAGTGGGAAAAAGTGAGTTGGTAAAGAGAAAAAATAGACTAATTGGTGAGGGACAGGTGGATGAATGTGAGATTTAAAGCATTCGAAAGAGCTGAATTTGTTATTTACTTTTTTATCCTTGAGTTGGGCATAATCATTTTTGTTGTGAAAGGTATAATAGGTAGAATGGCGGACATCTCTTGCAATGGATAGGTAGTTGATTATTTTAAGGTACGTCATGCGTCCAAACTATAAATAAGTAGCACCAACACATACACTAATTGATACACATACTTCTCTGACACATCTATCCCGATAATAATTCGATAAAATACAATAATTGAAACTTATATCAATTCAGTTTCCATATTTATTAAATAAATTCATAGCAATTCATAGAATTGATAGTAGTTGCTGCTGATATACCTCGTCAGGAAGATTAACATCAGTAGTCTTATGGTTACCCTTTAGAGCGCAAAGCAATTTTGAGTAGCGCCAAGTCTATGACTTTTAAACTCCTCCCAAGTCCAATCAGCAAAATCTGCAACTCAAAAATCTCAGTCAAATCCAAACAAAACCTAACTAACAAAAAATAATGAAAGTCAAAGAAAAAACAATAACACATTCGATTAACACCGAGCTTGTAACTGAGTCGTCTCTTATTAGTAGACCTGATAAGTTCAAGATTCTCCGAAAAGATCTTAAACCGAAGCTTCATCTCATCATACTGGGACAAGATTTGTGTCTGCCTCGATTCCATCCTTATCAACTCTCCATACATTCTGCAGTACTATCTCATAACCACAAATATAATTGAAATGGAGAAATAGTTAGAGTTTTTAGATAACCAAAATACGTTAGATCTAAAACCATGAAACACAAACAAAACAAAACTCAAAAGTAACTAACACATGTAGCTTCTCAACAACTTGTTGATATCACACATCTTCTCAAAAGGTTGAGTCATGAAGGATGGAGGAAGAAAAGTTGAGACTGAGGAACAGTAAACAAAAAAGGGTTGGAATGTAGGTTGGTGAGAAACAGAGCAGGAGGAAATGGTTGAAGATGGTGAGGGACGTTGTCGCGGCTGCGCTAGGGTTTGCAGAGAAAATAGAGAGAAGAAAGAAAGACTGAGTTGTGTATGAGAATGCAGGGAGAAAGACGAGAGAAAGATTGGAAAAAACTTTTTGAGCTTGTGAAAGAGTGAGAAAGAGTGGGAAAAAGTGAGTTGGTAAAGAGAAAAAATAGACCAATTGGTGAGGGACAGGTGGATGAATGTGAGATTTAGAGCATTTGAAAGAGTTGAATTTGTTATTTACTTTTTTATCCTTGAGTTGGGCATAATCATTTTTGTTGTGAAAGGTATAATAGGTAGAATGGTGGACATCTCTTGCAATGGATAGGTAGTTGATTATTTTAAGGTACGTCATGCGTCCAAACTATAAATAAGTAGCACCAACACATACACTAATTGATACACATACTTCTCTGACACATCTATCCCGATAATAATTCGATAAAATACAATAATTGAAACTTATATCAATTCAGTTTCCATATTTATTAAATTCATTCATAGCAATTCATAGAATTGATAGTAGTTGTTGCCGATATACCTCGTTAGGAAGATTAACATCAGTAGTCTTATGGTTACCCTTCAGAGCGCAAAGCAATTTTGAGTAGCACCAAGTCTATGACTTTTAAACTCCTCCCAAGTCCAATCAGCAAAATCTGCAACTCAAAAATCTCAGTCAAATCCAAACAAAACCTAACTAACAAAAAAAATAATGAAAGTCAAAGAAAAAACAATAACACATTCGATTAACACCGAGCTTGTAACTGAGTCGTCTCTTATTAGTAGACCTGATAAGTTCAAGATTCTCCGAAAAGATCTTAAACCGAAGCTTCATCTCATCATACTGGGACAAGATTTGTGTCTGCCTCGATTCCATCCTTATCAACTCTCCATACATTCTGCAGTACTATCTCATAACCACAAATATAATTGAAATGGAGAAATAGTTAGAGTTTTTAGATAACCAAAATACGTTAAATCTAAAACCGTGAAACACAAACAAAACAAAACTCAAAAGTAACTAACACATGTAGCTTCTCAACAACTTGTTGATATCGCACATCTTCTCAAAAGGTTGAGTCATGAAGGATGGAGGAAGAAAAGTTAAAACTGAGGAACAGTAAACAAAAAAGGGTTGGAATGTAGGTTGGTGAGAAACGGAGCAGGAGGAAATGGTTGAAGATGGTGAGGAACGTCGTCGCGGCTGCGTTAGGGTTTGTAGAGAAAATAGAGAGAAAAGAGAAAGACTGAGTTGTGTATGAGAGTGCAGGGAGAAAGACGAGAGAAAGACTGGAAAAAACTTTTTGAGCGTGTGAAAGAGTGAGAAAGAGTGGGAAAAAGTGAGTTGGTAAAGAGAAAGAATAGACCAATTGGTGAGGGACAGGTGGATGAATGTGAGATTTAGAGCATTTGAAAGAGCTGAATTTGTTATTTACTTTTTTATCCTTGAGTTGAGCCTAATCATTTTTGGTGTGAAGGATATAATAAGTAGAATGGTGGACATCTCTATCAATGGGTAGATAGTTGATTATTTTTTCCCACCTTATCTTTTATGTAAAATTCATTTTATTATTTTTTTTCCTTCAAATTTATTTTATCTCATAAAAATAAATAAATAAATAAGAATGTGTCAAAAAAACTCTGAAAAATACTAAAATGAAAGACATAAATTTAGGTCCTGTGAGCAACTAGGGTTTCACATCGCCGTTGGGTAACATTTCATTTCCAGAACCGGTCGAACTCGGAGCAAGAAGAAGCGATCAAAATGGTAACGAAATCGGAACTTCTCAACAACTCATTCCTCTAATTCTGATTCTACTACTTGCGATTCAGTTTCTGATTTAGGGTTTTTGTTTAATCCAATTTTTGCAGCCTTCACACAAGACATTCATCATCAAGAAGAAGCTCGCCAAGAAGCAGAGGCAGAACAGACCCATCCCTTACTGGATCCGCATGAGAACCGACAACACCATCAGGTAAAGTTTCTTTCTTCGCAACATCATCATCAACAACAACGTTGTATTGCAAATCATGTTTAGCTTCTTATATATGTTTTCTTTTATTTGATCTTTCTTCAGGTATAACGCTAAGCGTCGTCACTGGCGTCGTACCAAGCTTGGATTCTGAGGTTTTATGGTTACCTGGTTTAGTTTTTTGTTTTCAGTTGAAAGAGACAACTTTTGTTTTGGAGTTTTTAATTTTTTGATTATTACTCTCTGTTAAGATTCAGTGCTATGTAAGGAAGTGATTATGGTTTTTAACCACGATTTAACTTATTTAGTGATTTTGATGATTTGACTCATGGTTTTATTTTTGTTCATCATAATGGTTGCTCTTTAATTTGTTTATACTGTTCTTCTGATTGAGATTAGGTCTTGTTCATTTTTCAGTTTATTAGGGTTAGTAAATTTGATTGTGATTATGTGATTGTGTTTTGGGCTTATAATTTTTCAGTTATAATTTATTAGGGTCTGCTAGTATATCAATTTTGCATTATCTCGAATAACTTCACAATCATGAAGTCTTGTTCTTTGAGGTCTTTGAATCAGGGCCTCCTCCTCATCATGATTTTCCACCTCATCATGACCCTGCTCAGTAGCAGAACAGACCCATCCCTTACTGGATCCACATGAGAACTGGAAACACCATCTGGTAAAGTTTATTTCTTAACAACAATAACAATGTTATATTGCAAATAATGTTTGGGTTTTAATGGATGTTATTTTATTTGATTTTACCAAGCTTGCCTTCTGAGATTCTATGGTTACTTGGTTTAGTTTTTTGTTTTCCTTTGAAAGAAACAACTTCTGTTTTCGAGTTTTTAATGTTTTGATTATTACTCTTTATTGAGACCAGTGTTGTTATGTAAGGAAGTGGTTGTGGTTTTTAACCACAATTTAGCTTATTAGGTAATTATGATGAGTTGATTCGTGGTTTTAATTTCGTTCAACGAAATGTTGATCTTTAATCTGTTTATCCAATTCAGATTACTATTTATCCATTTTTCATTTGAGAAATTGTGTGGGTATTAGGGTTACTAGGTTAATATATCTGATTGAGATTATGCTGGTATTTTCTTGTTTGAGAAAATGTTGGTTTGATTCTGTGAAGAACTTATTTTCCTATTTCACCCTTATGTGATTTGGTTTTGGCTTAGACTTTGATTTGAAGGGAAAACGTTTTTTTGACACCAATTTATTTACTGTTTGCATCAGTATTGAACTTTTATTTTCATGTTTGGTACAATTATGTCTAAAACTTGCATTTTAAGTAATATGAAATCTATTTCATACCACATTAAAGGGTTAGGATCAGTGCTGTAAGCTCTTCCTGTCTATAATAATCCTAGACACCTCCTGTCATTAAGGTAACTCTTTACTGGGTTTCTGATTCTATCTAAGTATCTAGTTAGAGAAAAATTTGAACATTTTTAATCATCCAAAATATTGAATTATTCCTACAGTTTTGTGCCTCTTTTTCTCTCTGAAGAATCTATTTTCTGATTTTTTCTAGTTATTAGCTTTGTAGTGTCTCATGTTACAACATGTTTATTTTTCTAGTTATTAGCTTTGTAGTGTCTCATGTTACAACATGTTTATTTTTCTAGTTATTAGCTTTGTAGTGTCTCATGTTACTACATGTTTATTTTTCTAGTTATTAGCTTTGTAGTGTCTCATGTTACTACATGTTTATTTGTGAAAGCTATTTAGTTTCTTCCTGTATCTTATAAGTAACTCATATTTACAACTTTTGTCGAGGGAAGTCTTACATCATAACAATCATCTTTATCTACAAAGCTGTATCTTAGTATTTCTGACTTAGATGTTGCTGTCTGTTTTTCATGTTGCATAATTCTTGCCACATTCATTTTTTTTTGTGATATACCTAGGTCTGCATACTTACTTTCTCTTTTAAGAAGTCTTAGATTTCCTCACCTTTTAAACCGATGAATAAAACAGAAGCATATTTCATAACACTTCTTAACTTAGCATGATGAGTTAACAATATTAACTAACAGTTAGTTGAGATAGTTAGAGTTTGTTAGAGAAAGTAATACAATGATCGCTTGTGTATTGTAAGAATCATGGACAATACTTGTACTATAAGTATCTATTGTAACTCACCATTCAAAACTAATGAAGTTAGTTGAATCTAGTTTCATTCTCTTTATTTCACTTCTCTTCTTAGTTGTTTCTTCTTCTCCTCCATTTCATCATTGTTTTTATATTAGTACTTGTTTTGTTCACTTTTTTTTTTCTTTGTTTCACCGATTTCTTTCATTACGGTTCATAATTTGTTCATCATTTAAGATACATCTTTGCTACATATCCATGCCTCAGCGTGTTGCTCCATCTGGTCAGCAAGCTGACATTGACTCTCACTACAATATATATCCTAGCGATGGTCCAAATTCTATTTGCATTTTGCCAAAGTTGAATGGATCTAACTATCTTGCATGGAATAAATCAATGCAGTGAGCTATAGGTGCGAAGAACAAGCTTTAATTCATAGATGAAACAATTGATATTCTTTAATTCATAGATGAAACAATTGATATTCCTTCACATTATGATCTCAAGCGCAATAAATGGGAAATACGTAATTACTTGATTCATTATTGGTTATTATATTCTGTTTCTGAGCAAATTGCATCTACCATTATTTTTCATGTCAATGACATCAATATTAGATTCTTGACTCTGGTGCTAATGACCATATGTAATCTTCGTGACAATTTGTTACTTCCATTCATCATATCAAACATATCAGTATCACATTACCAAACGGTAATTTAATTTGTGTTAAATATGGTGGTCATATCAATTTTCAACTATTTTTTTCTTGCACAATGTTTTATATTCTAATGAGTTTCATCTCAATTTGACCTCCATTTCTAAACTATGTAAATCTTTGCATTATACAATTAGCTTCTCTGCCAATGAATGTTCCATATTGAATTTAAGCTTGATGAGAATGATTGGTTTGGATAAACAGACTGTAGGATTATACATCAAATAAGAATCTTAACCATATGACTTTGTTGTATCCATATATATCTTTTGATAATAATGCCATATGTAATATTTGTCTAATAGCAAGACAAAAGAAACTTACCTTCCTCAAAGTTCTAGCATTACTACTGAATTTAAAATGATCCATCAAGATATATGGGGACATTTATCTGTATCCTCAGTGCATCAACGAAAATACTTCTCAAAAGTTCTTGATGACTTTACAAGATTTGTATGGATTGTCCTTTGAAAATAAAAGCTAACATTGCCACCAAAGTCCAATATAATATCACCCCTAAAACCATAAGAAATGACCGTGATCTTGAATATTCATTACCATCTTTCTATGTTTCTATAAGAATTTACCATTACAGGTCATGTGTTGAAACTCCTAAGCATAATGGGAGGGTAGGGAGAAAACAGCAATATTGCTTAATGTTGGAAGAGCGTTGCCCTACCCAGCTAAACTACCTAAATAATATTGGTCATGTTCCATTTTTTATGCTACTTTTATCATAAATAGGACACCTACTGCACCCTAAATCATCAATATCCATATCTGGTAATTCATGACAAAATTTCTGATATTGACTCATTTAAGGTGTTTGGATCATTGCGCTATGCATAATGTCTTAGTGTTCATATAATTATTTATATTTGTTCATAACTCAGTAAAAGGGTGACAATCTTTGTCTTTAACTTAATAGAGTCTTTAAGACAAACTATAAACAACTCTATAACAATCTCCACAACTCTAAATAACTCTAAAGTATTCCAAAGTATTCTAAAGTAATAAAAAATACTCTAAAGTTTTTAAACGACAACTCTGACATATAAAGATAACTCTTATGAATTCTATTGGTTGACGACCTGACTCAAATAATATTAAAACAACCTTATGGTCATAATTTGATCTCAAATTTATCAAAAGGCTAGCGAAAGACCACTGAACTCGAAATTGATCAAAACTCAATAATATGTAATTTACATAACATTCCAAATACATCAAACTAACTCATTTGATCAAAACTCAATAATATGTAATTTACATAACATTCCAAATACATCAAACTAACTCATTGAGCACATTAGAGTAAAACTCAACCATTTCAAGCTCAACTCAAAATATGTCCAGTAGTTCAAAATACAACACTAGACATGTTAACAACTATAAAATCACAACAACTTAACTCCCTTAATTTAATCAATTTTAAAACGTATCACTAACTCCATTTTAAGTTATTTATAATTATGTTTAATTCCTTAAATTGCTAAAGGGTTTCCCAAAACTCTAGACTTAACTCTATAATTGTCTCACTTTAAAATAACACCAAATACTATATACTTATGATAAAATTATGAAACTCTCTAATCTAAAAGTTCTTTAAACCCGCTTTTAAGCGCACTTAACAGCATCTCAAATAGATTTACAAAACTTCAATTCTATTTGTTTCAGTTTAGCCCTATCACAATAATTCATGCATAAACTCTAAAACATAATGTATGAATTCAAAATAGCACGAAAAATTATATATTTATGATAAAATTACAAGACTATCTAGTTTGAAAGATCATTAAATTCTCTTTGTAACGCAACTGACAACACCCCAAACGGACTTACGAAACTTAAGTTATGTGTGAAACATGATGGCCAATGCAATATTGAAATTGACAATGCCTCTTGTGTAAAAACATAAAAACTTCTGCTGTTGTAGCGGTCCTAAACCCAATTTCCAATTTTCAAAAGAAATATTATTGCATTAGCTTTCTAACTCAATTGACTACACCTCAAATAAGACTTACAAAACTCAAGTTATGCATGAAATAAAACGATTAATCCCCTTCTATGTCGATAGGCAATTTTCAGTGTTTTCTCCCTATTAAACAAAATTCGAAATTCACTTGTTTCACATAGTTAAGTTATAACCTCTCCCAAAGATACACATATCAATCAAAGACAAAAGAATATATATATATATATATATATATATATATATATATATATATATATATATATATATATATATATATATATATATATATATATATATATATATATATATATATATATATATATATATATATATATATATATATATATATATATATATATAT